AAAAATCAGGGAACTGCAGTAGCATATCCAAGCCTACCTCTCAATATCTCCTCAATTCAGAAGTCATAAAAATATAACAGTTTTTCCAAAAAAATTCATGTTAGATGGATTAGATCAGCTACTGTATTCAAGAAGCACTGGTAAATATTAGGAAAAAAAAAGTACAAAAATATTCAAAGCAGTTTCATGAAGTAATTTCTATATAATCTCCATAGTTCTAGCTACTTATACTTCATCTATAGTTCTCTGGGGTGTTCATCTACATATAGTGCTCATCTATATGTCATCACATATTGAACCCCTTTGATTTGCTTTAGCTGACACAGGTAATTAGCTCTCCAGAGGTTTGGAATGTCCTTCTCATCATTGCTCATATTTTTTTGCCTTGTCTGCTTGTTTCTGCTAAAGCACTCAGTTGCCACTAATGTTACACTAAACAGAGACTTTTCCCAGCTAAGCTGTTCACTGGATTTACAGGCAACCTGCTGCATGCTGTGTCTTCAGACTTTATGAATGTAGGCTTCCGGGGAAAAGCTGCTTCTTTCATACCTGGACTATATCAAACAGAAGCTGCTAATCTGAGAGGATGTAGTGGACAAAGGGCGCAGTTTGCACTTCCTGCGTTTGAAGCCTTTGTGGCAGGTTACTCAGATCTTTGTGAGAGAAGAGAGAGAAATACATGCATGGCTAGAGGAGATGACACTGGGGTTGGAGAAGTGACAGACGCAGATGGAAAGGATGAGAGCTATACACAGAGCAGCAGATTGGTATCAGCTGAAAAAATGAAGGAAGAAAAAGCTTGTAGATGCAGCTAGGAAACTATATTCCAAACTAGAATAAACATCCGGTTTCAAGGACAGTAAATCAGCTTAGAGATCTGCTCTCAATTTCTACTTCTGTTCAGTATCAACAACGAAGGGAGTAAGTGGGATGCCTTAATAAAGCAAATTCCCAAATGACAGCAAACACTATTCCAGCTAGCTTTGGACTGCCTTCTATTTCCAGTGTAATCAGCAATCTCACAGCCACAGCTTTACAAATCCCAGGCCACCAGATAAATGCCAGTAGGCTGTGACAGAACATAGTAAAGCCAGAGACAGCGTTAGCAGGACCTGACTTTTAAACAAGCTTGTCAAGCAGAAAAGAATCTTTTTCAAAATCTGGGGTACCAAGGTAATGGTCTCCTCTGTCCAAACAGAAGAACCAGCACTATGCCTGAATCAGTATCTAGACCACTCGCACCATTTTTTGTGTTAAAAAAATCTTTATGTAGCATTAACATCATGGCCAGGATCAACACAAAGCAACAGTTCTCAAAACGTAAGCTAATATAATGTAATCTAATGCACTCCACTCAAGATAACAGATTGAAAACTGATGTTCTGAGCTGTACAGAATACACTGAAGATAAAACATATTGTTGCTTAATTGCTGGTTCTCTCATTATCTAGTATCACTACAAAGCTTTAGAGCACTGAGTCTCCATTTGTGATTTCCTACCCACTGGCAACACACAGAACTGCATAAACCAGCCAAAACTATATTCAGGAGCAAGATCTAGAGTGTTTCCAATCAGGAGTTTAAGAGAGTGCCTATGAAATTCAAAGGGTCAATTTTTTTCCTAAAAAAAAAATTCAGGATGTACACTATTATACATGATGCTGAAAGCTCAGAAGAGATAGTAGTTAAGAACAAATGGCAGTGCTTACTTCAGGGAAAAAAAAATACATACTTTAGAAACTAGAGATGTTATAAAATGTACATAGCATGGAGGACATTACACAGGCTTGCAGTAATTTGCCACAAAGAGCAGAGCACTTAAGGGTCTGAAAACACAGTTTAAGACAATAAGTAACAGGCTAAAACACACACAGCATTTTGGGTACTCAACTCCTTATGTATTTCAGTGCAAGCTACACATCATGTAAGCATGTGAGAAGTCCCCCTCTAATTCAAAAGAAAATGTTAACTATTTTAATTATGTGGCCATTCTAAACAGGCTCTGAAGTGCAGAAGCAATCACCAGCAGAATAAAATAGCCATAACATGCCTTTTAGTCATAGGATTTGTTACAATAATTCAACAAAGCTCCCAGCAGTTTCATAACAGAGTAGTCACATCTGCAGTTTCACAGAAATGATCACGTCTGTGCCAACGTTTCATCTTATGAATGTTTGCAGGCTCTGATTTCCATGTTTAGAAGAGGACTGAAACCAGCCAATTAGTTAAATTATTCCACCTCTCTGGCTTGCTATTCTCAAACTTAAGGAGCAAATGCTTCAGTCAGTGTAATGGAATGGTGGCAGTGATCTGTACTGGCAAGGGAGGCTCTGCCCCTAAAGGAAACAGATACAGACAAGCCCCAGGCTGGTAATATGCACTGTTACTGAGAGTGAAAATGAGGGAACAGATGCTGTTGGAGTATCAAAAGGAAGATGTTCTGGAAAAGAAAATAAACAAATCTAGCCATACTCAAATAAGGTAAAGGAAGGAAGCAGCAAGTCTCTGTTGCTAGAAGTAAAACAGGCTCTGCAGAACCATAAGAAAATTATGTACTTCTGGATGAATAAAATGGATTCCCTTTCCCAGAATTTCTGGATTATGCTAGGAAAAATATTAAGCGTATTTACCCGTATTAAAAAAAACCAAACAAACGGGCAAGTTTGTTCAGTGAACTGACAGTAAATTCAGAAGTGGTATCATATACCCAAGGGAATGCTTCAAACGATATCTCTGCTAAAGCAAGTACCCTCACAGAGAGGCTGAATCAAGATGCCTTGCTTGCTTTTAAGTGTCCTGACCTAAACAGTATGACCTAAATCTTGCAAGAGTGGAGAAAAATGAAACCTTAAGCCCTTAAGGACTCTCACTGCCATTAGCAGTCTTGCAATACTCTGCCTTCCTTATTATTTTATGGGAAAATATGCTTGTATTTTAAATAGCTCAAACTTGGTCAAGTCCAAGACACCAGTATGAGATGCAAAATTCCATTGCTGGTTGAGAAACACAGGGAACACACCCAGGGAGATCCAGCTGCCTGCCTTTTGAGTAGGTAGCTACACAACAGCAGAAATTGTGAGAATAGGTCTCCAGAGTGGCTGTGTGGAAAAGCTTCCAGTGCTTTTGTGTGTTGCCACCACAGCTGCACATGAGAACTATCAACCTACAACCCATGGACTGCTTCTGACAACCCAATTTTCAAAGACCAGCTGGGATCATTAAGCAGGTTCAACAGACCGTTCTGCTCTCCCACACTTTACTCAACTAAGAAGCAACTTCTCATTTCCTCCTCTCTCTATCCCCTCACCATTCACTTACAATCTCATTCTACCCATGAAGTTGATGCGTGTGTGAAGTAAAACTGTGGTCCTGGCAAGCTGTTGGGAAGCAGGAATGGGGCTACAGAAACTAACCCTTCTTTAAGACTGAAATTAGATAAATATGTCTGCACCCCCCATCCCCTCCTTCCGCCTCTTTCCCCCCTCCCCACCCAAAAAAAAGGCTAGTACTGTGGGTTCATCCCACCTCAGCTTTTTGAATACTGCCTTCCAAAAGGATCCAAAGCTTATTAAACTCCAATGGAGCCCTCCCTTTATCTCACATCCATAAAGTATTCACCTCCACCTAAAAAAGACTGCAATGCCATTGGTTGCTAAAAATCTCCTGCCGTTGAAGCAGCGGGAAGAGAAAGATGGTAGTAATTGGAATGACCTGCTTTTACAGACTGCAAGTCATCTATTATGAAAATAGTTATTATTTATAGCACCTGAGAGACGCAGTTCAGAACAAATACCTTCACCATGCAAAATTCTGAGCATTTTTCAGTAGTCTTCATTATTCAATGATATCTGAAAAAGCTCTCTGCACCTTCACAAAATGCCAGCACTCGTATTTCCTAATAAACTCTAAGATACTATTAGAGGCTCATGATACCGCTGGTGTTAAAAACAGAGTATCTTCTCCCACTGAAGGGAAGTAGCAACTACCCACAGGGAAAAAGGAAATATTTGTCTCTCAGGGTAAAAACCACTAGGATTGCTATTTTCTGGGGTGCGGAATTAGGGAAAAATGAGATACAGCCTCATTTTGAAAGTGAGGTATACATTCATCCAAATTAATTAATCATCTAAATTCACCTAAGCCGCCCCTGCAGAACAGCAGAGAATTAGACTATACATTAATCAATAACAGAAGTAGTTTGCTGTAGTTTCAACAATGAAAGAAGGTATGCACAAACTTAATATTAAATTCAAATGGTCCTGTAAGCTTTGATTGAGTCTTTAAGGATGTGAAAGTTTCAAGTATCTGTGTCTAAAAGTCAGAAACAATATAGGTAGGTTATGAAAAAAAAATTACCTGAAAGGAAGTACAGATGAAATAAAGATTCCAAATTTTATGTCCTCAATAAAAAGATTCTTCTCTAAAAGATTTTAAATTTAAGTTCAATCACAATTTTAGTCTAGAGAAGAGAAGGCTGAGGAGAGATCTGATCAACGCTTATAAATACTTGAAGGGTGGGTGTCAAGACGATGGGGCCAGTCTTTTCTCAGTGGTGCCCAGGGACAGGACAAGAGGAAGTGAGCACAAACTTGAATATAAGAAGTTCCACCTAAACATGAGGAGGAACTTCTTCACTTTGAGGGTGGCAGAGCCCTAGAATAGGCTGCCCAGGGAGGTGGTGGAGTCTCCTTCTCTGGAGACATTCAAAACCCGCCTGGAAAAGATCCTGTGCAACCTGCTCTGGGTGGACCTGCTTTGGCAGGGGATTTGGACTCGATGATCTCCAGAGGCCCCTTCCAACCTTGTGTGACTCTGTAATGTAGAGGGAGTGAATTCACATTTATTTAGAGAAAACCTAGTTGCTCCACAGTTATAGTGTAACTGAACAGAAACATACGCATCTACACAGGTCTGAAAGCAGACTTTAGCCCATTATTGTGTTTCTTCAGTGCAATAACTTCTTGTTAAGTCAAGGACATCTAGTTCTCCTTAAGACTTACAATTTCAGACTAGACTATGGTGCCATCTTATGCTGTCAGTGTCTGCCAAGAACTCTGGAGTTCTATCCGCCATCAGCTTCTTTAAGAAACATTCTTATCTTGCACAAAACTGCTGTCTTCAGAGTCCTGGGTACTCATCAGCACCTTTAATGAAACGTGATCTGTGGACAAACGAGCAGTAGAACAATTCTAGTGATATATGAATTACAACATTTGAATGATTTAAAAAAGCAGTGTAATTAAGACTAGCAGAATCATAGCTAATACAGTTTGATGAAGTGGTGTAGGCATACAGACATCAGTTTGGATAGTGACATGCTAGGTCTGTGCACGGCAGTGGGCGAAACTAGCGAGCAGGCTCTGCACAATGCAGCTATTAGTGACTTTTCATTGAAACATTCCAATGCCATCTGAAACCCTGGCACACCCAGAAGTATCAAATTTACACACACAGGATTATAAAGTTAGGTATCACCCTAAACAAATTATGCACGTAAAAGCTACTACATGCAGTTGTCACTCTTTCTACACTCACTGCTATTTGGACCCAGCGTTGCTTATTCAATTCTTTTAAAAAGGATGGTCTAAATGGCTTTATTATACTGCAGTCATTGACAAGGCTAGTCTGAAGGTGTTCATCTGATGACATATAAGGGAGATGACAATCTTCCTGTAACTTGTGAGTTGCTTATACCCGAAGGGTGAGTTTGTGTCAAAAACAAGAGTTCCCTTTAACACGTGCAGTTGTGTCCACAAGTCAGCATTGTTATAAAAATGCAGAAAGTTGCATTATCTAGCCGAATGAAGCAGCATGAAACTAGTTATCACAAAGAAATCATGAAACAATTTTATTTAATGCTAGAGATCCACCTCTTTAAAATACTAAATATTTTGGGCAGCTATCCTTGACCTTAAACTAGGGTCAAACTGTAGCCTTCTACTACACCAGCCTCTTAGACCTGCAAAAAGGGGTTAGAGTCCCACTGAAACAAGTTACGAAAGGCTGCTCCTGCCCCAAACAGGTTAGGAGGCAGGTTACATGTGGATCACTAAGTAAGGAAGGGCTAAGAGGAAAAAAGGCACAAACCAAGAACATACAGAACCACTTACTGTAATTCTAGCTGGTCACAAATCAGGAGTCTTACAACGCAGAAGGTTAAATCTGATTTCTAATATGCAAATTATAACCATACTAGCTCTTTCAAATGTTGCTCAAAATCACAGGTCAAGTTGGTTCCGCACCATTAAGGGAAGAGTCTGAAAAAAGCCAAAAAAGAATTACTATGCCTGAGCTCCACAGTGAGAGAAAAAAATGCTGTCACCTTCCGGAGCCATTAAAGACCCTTGCCTTTCCTGAATATCACGGCTCACTCCCCATGGAGTAGCATACATGCATACACATACTCTGCATCTCTTCTGGCCTTATTCTGCCAAAGATGCTTCAGTACAAATCACCTCTTCAGCTAGTAACTTTCACTTGCGTGTTTTATTTCCTGGAAGTCTCAAATACCCTCTAAAGTAGAAACACTTTACATCTGAAAACTAAAAATAAACTCTTTAAAGCATCAGCTTAAACCAAGAACCCATGCCCTATCATAGGTTGAATCTTGGGTCACATCAGTCACACTTTGTTGTGGCTTACACAGGATAAGAAGCAAACCAAAAGAGAACTGCGACAGCAAATTCTCAGTGATTTTAGTGATGGAACTCTATAATGCATCTTGTAAAAAGCTACAATTCAGAAAGCCTCTTCTGCAAAGCCTACAGTGCTTTAGTCTCCGCTGTCTTTTCTGCCTTTTGACTCAACATCTCACAGGACAGAGTGACCTGGTTAAGCAACTAACAACCAATAAAACACAGGAAAACTCCCTGTGTTTGTGGAGATAGAACCAAGCACTGGAATTCTTTTACGTATTCTGTTAGGCAAATTTATTAATTTTATTCTGGAAACAGAAATTTCCTAATTTGTACATTACCTTCACTCCTTTTGTTGAACAAACTTGACTTCCCTATCTCATCTCTTCCATCAAGAAGTCCAAAACAGAGGTAAATGGCTGATCCGTTTTAAGCAGAGGTAGAAAGTCAGAACATAATTTTGTGATTTTTTTTTTCCTCCCGTGCTGCAAATCAGTGTAATTGCACCTGCTGCAGCAGCATCTGCCTTTCCACATACTGAGAAAGCAAATACCGGAAAGCATCCTGCTACATAAAGGAATTTTTAGATCCAGAGAAGAATATAAATGCTCGTAAATAACTTTTCTTCCCTCCCCCCACCTTTTTTTTTAAAGCATAAACTACATAACAGAAAACAGCTCTTCCATTTCAAACCAGCTTAAGGTACTTAAAAGCTGAATGTGTTCATTTGCTTTTCTGCATTGTACCTTATCAATATTAATATCACAAGATGCATGCTATAATCACTCAGATTTGCATTACTGTTGTGTATTCTACCATTTATCACACTAAATTGTTACTAAATTGATAGTCTTGCTATTTAAAGGCTCTTGTTCTCGTTTTACATGCATGACATTCAGTTGGCAACTCTCTCTGCAGTGGAGTGACAAACATTTTAATGCTTACTCCTTAAACCACAATGATAACATTAATACTATAAAGGATAATGCCTATTCAATTATAATAAAATGAATTATACAAGCGAACACAATGTGCTTACGTCCCTGCACATACCTACAGAAAACTTTGGGACTTACTATATGCAAATGTAAAATAAGAGTTCTGGTGTCCATTTTATTCACATTCAAGTCCACAAGCTAAGTTTTCTCTCAATGGGCACATATTGAGCCCCTGAACAACCCTTGGCTTCAGATATACAACCCTAATTCAAATACATGAATGAAAACATTGGCAAAAGCAATACTTTATGGTACTCCAGAGGAATAAACTGGAAAACAAGTGTAGGGCAAGCAGGGAGAAAAGTTTTTACTTCAGATATTCCACACAGTAAAATTCAGCACTCAGTCATGTACCGCACAACTTCTACTGAAATCAACGTGAGTTCTGGGTCCCTCCAAGATTTGAACTTGACCCCTTAACTGTATAATTTATACAACAAAAAAATTATCTCAAACTGCCAAACACTGTGATCAAAACAAAAATTGCTTCCTCAAGTATATATGGCATTCAAAAGAGGGCAACGCAGCCACATCTCTTTTCAATCAGTTGCTCCAACACAATCACAGAATCTAATCCTCAGCTGTAAATCTTTGCCAATGAGGTGGCAGCCAGCAGAGGTGGATCCAAACCTCAACAACTTTGCAAATAACGCTGTAATAGAAAGGCTTAACCAACTAATTTTTTTTTTCCTTTCCAGACATAATTTAAGAATCACAGTCTCACTAAAATATAATTTAATAACAAGATAACGGTATGTAAAGTTTGAAAAATCCCCGTAATTGCACATAAGCTCACAGGGCACACGTGAAGCCCCTCTTCCACCCATAACTCCACCAAAATCCAGCTGCACCCAAGTCTCCAGCTTCCAAACACTTTATTACCTCCGCCGCCAGCTATCCTGCTCTCAGCACTGCCATCTAGTAGGGAGCGGCGGTGTACCATGGGTTGCTTGGCACCTCAGCTCAAAGCCAGCAATATTCCCGGAAAGCATCGCAAAGCTGTTGCTGCTAAAATTTTAACTGCAGTCGGTAGTTAACTACGGACCGTACCGGTTCGAAAGCGGCCTCCTCCCCCCCCCCAATACCCCAGTCCTTCCCAACCGAGATCGGCTAAGCGAATGCATCAGCGTCTGCTTCGCGTGATCTTCGGTGGGGGGGAAAACCAGGGAAAATTCGTTATTTGCGAGCACCCAACCTTGCGCACACCACCGCGGGCCCTGCGAGCGGCCGGCGGAGGGCAGAGAGGGGAGCGGGCGCCCCGAGGCTGTAAGCGGCGCCGGCAGAGCCGGGCTGCCGGCCGCCCCCGGCGCTCTGCCCGGGTTCACGGGCGGCTGTGGGGAGACCGCGGGAGCGGGCACGCACCGCCGGCCGCTCCCCCTCCCCAGCCCCTCCGCGCACCGGCCGGGCCGGAAAACCGTTACAGCCGTTAAAACCGTTACAACTCGCCCCGCGCCTCTCCTCAACCTCGCGCCTCTCCCCCCCACACACCCCCTTTCCTCCCTGCGGTGGCGCGGTTAGTGCCAGAACTACGAGGCGACCCTCCGCCCTGGGAAGTTGCCCAGCCCCAGGGAGAGCTGAGTGCCCCAAGTGCCCCCCTTTTTTCCCCCCCGCCGCCATTGACACAGACCGGGCTCACTCCCCGGTGAGCGGCGGAGGCTGGCGGCCCCCCCCGGCCGGCTC